ATAGGGCTAATCTATCATGCAAGAAAAGGCCTAAAAGAGAGATTAAACATAAGGGGACAGCAGCTGGCCCCAAATGGCAAAGAGCCCTTCAACAAAGTTGAATAGGGGCTCAAAAAAAGACACTTTACAGTTTACATCAAGCCACGAAAATAATCACAAATAAGGCCAAACTATCATGCAAGAAAAGGCCTAAAAGAGGGGTAAAGAGACAAGTGGTAGCTTCTGTTCTCGAACAGAGGAGAGCCCTTCAACAATGTTGAAGAGGGGCTCAAAACAAGATATTTCACAGTTTATGACAAAGTCCAAAACAGCTTACAAGTAAGCCTAAAGTATTATGCAAAAATTGGCCTAAAAGAGAGATAAAGAGGCAAATGGTAGTAGATGGCCTCAAACAGAAAAGATCTCTTCAACAAAGTTGAAGAGGGGTTCAAAACATGGAACTTTACAGTTTGGGTCAGAGCCCAGAAATGCTTGCAAGTAAGACTAAGATATCATGCAAGATAGAACTTCAAAGAGGGAGAAGAGGACTTACCTTTGTAGCATAGCAATGCAGCAGCTTTTGGTCCCAAAAATTAGTCCCTTAGCCTCTGAAAATGATCTCCAAGAACCTCCAAGCAATGGTGGAAGTGTGTGGTTGTGAGATGGTGTGTAAAGGGCCAAGAGTAATGGACTTTTGAGCTTTGGAGAAGAGAGCTATGGAGAAAGAAGGGTGTATCTATCAGATATATATGTATATCTCTAGTTTTTTGTTCAACCCTTGACAATGGAGGAGGAGAGGTTCTTATATAGACAAGCCAAGTGGCTTGAAGCTTATAAGACAAGCTTAAGAGAAAGGGTCAAAGGGGGGCAAAGGGGGTCAAGGCTTATCAAGGAAGCTAAGGCAAGGGTGCAAGCTTCTTGAGGAAGCCAAGACAAGGGGTCAAAGCTTCCTCAAGAAGCCTTGAGCAAAGGGTGCAAAAAAAAAAGGGGTCAAAGGTGGTCAAAGGTGCAAAATAGCCACACCCGTGCATAGGGGGACGGGTCTGTGCACTCCAGCTGGCACAGCTGGCATGCACCATGCTTGAGGGGTGCAAAAGGGTCATATCGGCCATGAAAGGAGGTCATCGGCCAAATAAATGGCCGGCCTGCTATTTGTTCTGGCTGGTCGGTTAAATGGATGGCCGATAGGTGGCTGCCAAGATCAAAAAGTGGCCGGTGGGTGTCCAAATTGAAGCCCCGGAAGTTAGCTTTCCAATGGCGCAAACCTTGCATTAAAATTCCTCCTGTGGAAAAAGTTATGCCCATTTTGGTGAAGCCGCGCAGATTCGATCCAACCGGGATGATACCCAACTTCAACCAATCATATCTCCCCCACCCGGACTTGGCTCTAGGAGATTCTTGAGTGCAAAATGAAGCCCCGGAAGTAAGCTTTTCAACGGTGGTGGCCTCATAGCTAAAATCCAAGCATGCAAATGAATAAGCCCGATTCAGCGAGGGCTGATCAACTCTCTCTGTTACCCGGATTCATGCCGAACTTCTCCCAAACTAGTTTTCTCCTCTCCTTTCCTCTTTTTTTCAACTCCAAACCCCTAAACAAAGTGTTTTGAAAGATTTTTTAAAGATTTCATCTCTCTTTCATTCATCTCCAACTTGTCCTTGCTCGGTTTACCGAAAAGCGCAACATTTACCGAAATGTGAGCGTCGGAACATCATAGGAATTTTATTTTCAAAACATTTTGAAAAAGAGGATCTTAAGATCTAAAATCTTTTGATCAAGATTATTTTGGTCCAAAAGGGGTATGAAGTTGGGATTTGACTCTCTCATTGTTGACGAATTTGAACCTTTGCCTTGCACACCTTTTACCACCAAGTAAACCATCAGTAACGCCCAAGTCTTAAGGGCGGTAAAAAATGGGGTGTCTACAGTTACAGATTAAAAAAATAAAAATAAAATAAAAAAACAACCCAGATGAGTTTAAGATCAAAACAATCAAGGTGATATAAGATCAAAAAACCCAGATAGGTATAACTAAATAGAGATATAAAAAAAACACTGAAGTTGAAAGAAAAAAGAAGAAAAAAAAAAAAAGCAAAAGAGAGCACCTTTGGGTGAGATTTTCTTCTTGAAGATGTTTATTGCTGTTTCTCATGAGCTCGCTTATGGTTCAGCTTCTTCTGCTTTGACCGTCGCCTCACCATCGAAAATCCCCCTTCTCTATAAAGGTAGGCCCCACCTAGATGCTCCGCGACGGAGTTATCATAGACGTCGCCAACGCCGAGCAAGCTTGCATCGCGGAAGAAGCCGACATTTGTGCCATCATTGCCCTCGAACGCATCCCTGCCGACATTTCGTCGAACACTTAGAGGAAGAAGAGAGAAATAGGGGGCACGATGAAGGAGGAGATCTAGGGTTTATGGTTTCGGAAGAAGAAAAATAAGAGGAGGGCATTGCGATAATAATGGTAGTAATGAACACCACTTATGGACTCAATTTGTTTTGCACAGATAAACATCCCTTATAGTGAAAGCAATAGAGAAAATCGAGAATGATGATGGTGAGAAGAAGAAAGAGGAGGAGGAGGAGTGAGAGAAAAATAAGGAGGAGTGAGAGAGAGACAGACAGAAAGAGAAAGAGAAAGAGAAAGAGAGAAGTGGGTTTGTATATTGTACAGATAAAAGGAATGCGTGTATGCATATTATTCTATGGGTATATCCATAAGAATTGGTAGTTTGGTCATTTCACAGAAATAAGTTTTGAGGGGATTGTTAGTGAGAAGATTAATAAAATTGTATTTGTTTTGATGATAGTTGTTAGTGTGGGGATTGTTAAATTATTTTTATATAAAATAATAAAACAAATAAAACTATAATTTTTACTTAACAAAAAATACAAAAACATTAAATATTAATGTCAAAAAAAAAAAAAATGCCCAACAAGTAAAAAAAAAAAATTACAGTTGACGGGGTGACTGGTTGTCTGGCCGGATGTTCTCTCGGACGACCGGTCACCTCTAAGCTGAACGGACTGTCTTCCTAATATCATCTCTTAACTTAGACTCGAATCCGTTTGTGTGAGGCCTTTCATAGTCTGTTGGGACTATGAGTGCCAAGACCAAAGAGGAAAACAAACATAAGCTTGGTGAGGGAAAACTCACTGTTAGTCCAGTCCGGAGTCATAACTCGAAAAACAAACAGGCCATAAGGGTGAATTCTTACATGGTTTTGTGGGATGGAACACTGCCTATTAGGAGTGAGTAACGGTTTATTCGATCTGCAAAACCCATCCAACCCGCCCAATCTGCATACAAATGGCCGATTTTGCATACACAATGCGGGCAGATGCGGTTTGAAATATAACATGTTTGCAGGTTGCGGGTTTAACCTGCACCCACAAGAACCCGCTCGCACTTTTTTATTTTTTGTTTGTTTATATTTAATATTAATCTTAACCATTGATTTCATTCATATATCCTACTTAGATGTTTTTGTCAAAAACAAAACACCCTTTATTCTTTGAATTTACTCTAGCATTACATTTGCTAATAGTATTATATATTGAAATTGAATAAATATTGACCATATTATTATTGTTTCATAACTGAACTTGTCCCGAATGAAGTGATTTGAAATTTTAAATTCCTTAATAAATATGGAGTTATAGTTTAAGATTTTGAAATATATACTTGTGTTAGTTTCTGATTTAATTTAGAATTTTGAATGATTTGTTTGTGTTACGAATTGATTTTATTGTGTTTTTAATTTTATAAATTTTAATTCATGAATTATTCATATTGGAACATTTTAGAAAATGGGGATAAAAGGACCCAAAATAAATATTTACAAAATGGGAAGAAAAAAAAAGGCTCAAAAAAAAAAAAAAATCCAATCCGCAAATCGTCTGCAATTGCTCGCACATCTGTAAACCTTATCCGCATAAATCACAAATCATACTGCGAGCGGCTGCAGATTGGCTTTTTTTCAAATTGCATAGATACCAACGGGTCCAAACCGATCCACAAATTATCCAAATCTAAACCACAAACACCCTTACTGCCTATAAATTTAACCGGATCCAAGTTTACTATTTGTCTGATCCGTTACCAGAATATTGAAACTGACCCGATTCATGTTGCGGGGTCTCCTCCGGTGATTGCGCACAAATTTATTCAATTGTCACTTTGATGCCTGACGAAGGAAGGGAAGGGTCCAAAGTCAAAAAGTTTCTCAAGTACAACCCATTCAAGAGGAGACTTCGTGACCGTCCGATTAATGGAACCAAAAATTTTACGTTAAATTTACACATTTTTAGGAAAGGTGGGTGTACATATGATTTCCCATTATACTTTAATAGCTATCACGTCACGCGTAATGACGAAGTGCATATTATGAAATTAGCAAGTTCCTCACAACAGAATTCAGACAGTAGCAACTAATCTACGACGCAGGCTCACACCGAGATTTGTGCACCACCATTTTCCAACTTACACGCGGCTTCTCGCCGGTAATCATCACTTTCTTTTAGTGGCTGCCAATTTAATCAATGTTAGGGGTGGATTAAAAGAATGTTGAACAGTCATAATTTTTGACTTTTGGTGAATAGTGATAATTTTTTAATTTTTTGAGTAATTTTTTAATTTTTTGACAACTTGTAAACTTGGTCTTAGTATTTTCAGAATATGAACACGTGATACTCTATAAGATTTTAATTGATAAAAAAAAATAAAGGTTCACAATTTATGTTAAAACGAAAGAATAACTTGAGAATTAAGTAATTGATAATTAACTTGATATATGATTAGGCGATGTTTTTGAATTATTAAATAACTTTTCCAAATAGACAGATAAAATATGGTGGGAGCTTATCGGCAGTGGTCGTAAAGAACAATGATCGCTTGAGTTGCGTGTCACGTTTCTGATCTGATATGCGAAGTGCATCAACTTTGACGAGCCTCAAGAGTACATTAAAACTGCCTCTTCAAAGGTCAAACTAATTAAAATGAAAATTAATTTAATTGAATTTCAACTGTAAAGCCTGCAAACACGTCCGAAACACAACACACACTCTCTCTCTCTCTCTCTCTCTCTCTCTCTCTCTACTCTGTCTCTAGATTCTCTCTAAAAAGCTTGAAAGGATCTGAGAGAATGTGGGAATGAGGAGGTTCTAGAGAGACAGAGAAGCAAAGCATTTCGAGGCCATGGTGCTCAGACGATTTCTCTTACTCCTCTTCATCTTCTTCTTGGCTCTGAGACCTTCGTATCCTAAACCTGGTTAGCTCTCACTACCCTTTCTCTCTCTCTGTATATATATATCATTATATCTAATAGTTATCTTCACATTGTGGTGAAGAGTATGGGTTAGAATTTTGAAGTGAAATGTTTACTTATCTTTGATTGATTTGATGTAGTTAATGAGTGTATCGATTTGGTATTGTTAAAGTAAACTTGTTATTGTATGAATCGATGCTTCAATGCGTTCAAAAAATCTAAAAATAAAAAAAAATCAATATTTCAATTACAGAATGAATCTATTCTTTTGACTCTCGATTGAGTTCATCGAAGTTAACTTTATTTGGAGTAGTGATTCTGTTACTCTTGATTTTTGAATTATTTTTTTTTTGGTTAGTGTTAATGGTGATAAGTGTTGGCATTTTTGATGGGATTGAGCAGAATTTGAAAATTCATATTTGGTTTATACTGTGTTTGGTTGGAAGATTTGGAAAGGGATTTGGAAAGGGAAAGTGAAAAGGTAGGTGAAAATTTTCTGTTTTCATTTTCAAATTCCTCCATAAATCTCCCAACAAAATACAGCATTGCTGTCTTGAATTTGGGATCGAATGGAAGAAATGATTACTTACATTGGCTTATTGCGAAGAAAATGCATTGAGGAAAAGCAAAAGAAGAAAACAAAACCAGAAAACATTGTTCCATTAAATTGTGCATAACACAACAATTCTCATTCTTTTTAGGTTGTGTTTGGTTGGAGGATTTGATGAGAGAAAGGGAAAAGGAAGGAGAAATAATTGATAGGATTCGAATTCCAAGTTATGTTTGGTTGAGTTGGGAAATGGAGAAAGAAAATAGATGCTATGTTTGGTTGGGGATTTGGGAAGAGATTTGAAAATGGAAAAGAAAAATGTGTGTGAAATTAGGTGAAATATAAGTATATTTTATTTACATTTCACCTTTTTTTTTTGTTTTCCAAATCTCTTTTCAAATCCCCAACCAAACACAGTGCAATTGAATCCAAAAAGCAAAAAATGGGATTATATTTTCCTCTCACTTTCGTTTCCCCTGTGTTTTCCATTATAACTAAACAAAAAGTGGGATTGCGTTTCATTTTCAATTTTCATTTCTCTCATCAAATCCTCCAACCAAACACAGCCTTAAAGGTTATCCTATTTCTAATGAGTAAGCTTTCGGAATTAGCAATAAGTCTTACCCCTTTGCTGAGTTTACTAACTGTTTATTATTATTATTATTATTATTATTTTTTTTTTGGGGGGGGGGGGCATGTATGGTGCACAAAAATGATTTAAAATGCTATGGTAGGAGAAAATTGCTAATTATAGAAAAGAATATGAATTTCTTATCAACATGTCTACAGAGATATGAAAATGCTTGCTGGGATGTTAGGTGCTGTTGCTTGATTCTCAATTGATGCATGGGTTTAGAATAAGTATCAGATAGCTGTTGTTGAATTAATTTGTTTGCTAAAGCATTTATTAGAGATAAGTGGATTTGACTTAAGCGAAGGACTCTTCTTATTCAGTGTTCTATTCTGAAAATCTTTTTGTTGAATGCAGCACCATATGCTATGCGAATAAGCTGTGGAGCTCGCAATGATGTCCACACTCCACCAACGAATACGTTGTGGTATAAGGATTTTGGATATACAGGAGGGATACCTGCTAATGCAACACAGACAAGTTTTATCACACCTCAACTTAACACACTTCGCTATTTCCCTCTATCTGATGGACCAGAAAATTGCTATAACATTAATGGAGTTCCTAGTGGCCACTATTCAGTTAGAATGTTTTCTGCATTGGTTAACGACACTAATTTCGACAACGAACCTTTATTTGATGTTTCTGTTGAAGGAACTCAGATTTATTCCCTGCAATCAGGTTGGAGCAACCACGATGATGAACAGGCATTTGTTGAAGCTTTGGTATTTCTTACCAATGGCTCTGTCTCGCTTTGCTTCCATAGCACTGGTCATGGAGATCCAGCTGTTCTTTCAATTGAAATTCTTCAAGTTGATGATAGAGCGTACTACTTTGGCCCGCAGTGGGGTCAGGGGACTATCCTAAGAACAGACAGAAGACTGAGTTGTGGTGCTGTGAAACGCAAATTTGATGAAGACTATAGTGGGGACCACTGGGGTGGGGATAGATTCTGGAATCCCATTGCAACTTTTGGTCAAGGGTCTGATCTTATTATATCTACGGGAAACAGCATCAAGCAGGCCTCAATTTCACCAAACTTCTACCCAGAAGCGGTTTATCAGACTGCTCTTGCTAGTACTGATAATCAACCGTATTTAGCGTATACAATGGATGTGGATCCCAATAGGAACTACTCCATTTGGTTGCATTTTGCAGAGATTGATCCTTCTGTCACTAGTATAGGTCAAAGGGTATTTGACATCCTAATAAATGGTGATATTGCTTTTCCAGATATTGACATTGTGAACATGAGCGGGGATCTTTACCGTGCTCTTGTACTGAACAAGACTGTTGCTGTTAATGGGAGAACTTTGACAATAACCTTTCACCCTACAAAAGGTCATGCCTTAATTAATGCTATTGAAATCCTTGAGGTTATTACGGCAGAGTCTAAAACTTTGCCAGATGAAGGTAAATATGCCCTCCTTAATTTTCAAATGTTTGACAATTTGTTTTACTTTTTTGACTTTGACATGTTTTTACACTTTGATGAGGTTGCTAGATTCATGTTTATTTAAAGAGTAATGATATACAAACAAAAAATTTACACACAACATCTATACATAACTATTTGTCAAATTTGTAGTCATTCATTTTGAATCAAAAGACCCAAAAAAGTGACATTATTTAGAAACTGCCATCGACACTTGATGATGCCTTACGATTTTGTACCCAGTGATAATTTTGAAACTACCTACCTAAGAAACTCTACTGCTTGGTTTTTAGAGGAAAATTTTGATATTAAATAAGGGTATCAATTTTTTTTTTTGGATAAATATTAAATGAGGGTATCAATATTGTTAAGGAAGTTTTAAAAAAAAAAAAAAAAACCTCAAATTAAATGTCTATGACTGTGTTCATACTAGATCATATAGTAGAGATGGTGAAAAGAATATTTATAAAGTTGCTGAACTAAGGGAGACGAAAACAAGAGACTTAATCAAATTAAATGTATAAAAGTGAGGATTTAAGGGTGTTAGTGAAGATGGGGATATTTGGGAAGTTGGAAAAGTTATTTCGAGTAAATAAAAACATTTAGAAAATGTAGGAGTGGAGGAATCTGATAGTGTTGAAAGAACTAGATTTATCAAAAGAAATAAAAAAAAAAATAGTGTTGATAGAACTAGAGAATATAGATTTTATCATCGATTAAGGGAGTTTGAGGTTGAAATGGCATTGAAGAAGATGAAATTAGGTAGGGCATTAGGACTGGACTGTATCCCTATTGAGGTTTGGAAATGTTTTGGTAAGGAGGGTGTATCTTATTTAATAAAATTCTTTAACAAGATTCTAATGACTAGAAAAATGTTTGACTAGTGGACAGAAATTATTTTAATACCTATATATAATAAAGGAGATATTCAAAATCGCAACAACTATAGAGGCATTAAGTTAATAAGTTGTACAAAATTGTGGGATAGAGTGATTGAACATCACTTAAGGGTAGCAACAACTATGTTAGAGAATCAATTTGGATTTATGCTTGGTTGATCACTAATATAGAAGCAATTTATTTACTGAGAATTTTAATAGAAAAGTATAGAGCAAAAATGAGGGATCTACATATGGTTTTTATAGATCTAGAAAAAGCTTAGAGATATAATATGGTGGTCATTGGAAAAAAAAGGTGTAATCCAAGGGTATATTGATGAGATAAATGAAAAAAAATAGTAGAGTTGTGACTTTAATTAAATCAGTTGTAGGAGAAACTAGTGAATTCCCAATCACTGTAGGGTTGCATCAAGGGTCAACTTTAAGTCCTTGCGTATTTGCCTTAGTCATGGATGAATTAACTAAATATATTCGGGATGACGTCCCATGATGTATGATTTTTCCCCCCCATAATTGGACTAATACAAGTTTAGCAATGCTTGGTTTGTCACGATCTGAACCCTTCCCTAGAGGTTTAGGTTATGACCGGCCAGTAATCATAGATTACTTATGGCCTCAATTGACAAAATCAAATGACGTGATAATAAATTAGCGGAAGCAATCAACAATAATAAAAACAAGTCCATTGAGTTGTGCTTATATGATAAACTCAAAAACATAATCACCATTGCAACCAAAAACTTGTCAAGAAGTTAAATTCAACCTATACATATACAAACATGGCCAACATCTAACAAAAACAAAAGCTTAAAACAAATACATTAAATTTCTACAGGAAGCAATCAACAATAATAAAAACAAGTCCATTGAGTTGTGCTTATATGATAAACTCAAAAACATAATCACCATTGCAACCAAAAACTTGTCAAGAAGTTAAATTCAACCTATACATATACAAACATGTCCAACATCTAACAAAAACAAAAGCTTAAAACAAAGGTTCAACAAAAGCTTGACTCCTCTTGAGATCAAGCAAACGCCTCAATACAAAGACACTCCACAATGGCTTGACAAAAAGGTAGACTCCTACAAACAGCTTTAAGTTTGACCATCCAAATGCTCACCTACATATATGTAAGGGAAATGGGTGAGCTAAAGCCCAATGAGTAACATCAGTATAAAGGGTTGATGAATAAAGTCCAACATCTCATAAAACATAACTTTCAGTTTCCAAAACAATTCATATATCTAATCATATCAATTCTTTGTGTTAACAATATCCATTCAAATCATTATACGTGGTAACATCCAATAGAGTAACAATATATCAATATGCCGAAGCCAATGGGACCATTAAGGTCAATTCAATGGGACCATATAGGTCAGACAATAGGATCACAACAGGTTAATCAATATGGACCATTAGGGTCTAACATCAGAGATCTCTGTGTTTCAATTAATTCAATAGGCGGGGCCTCACTAAAAGATGCCATGAATACATTTCCAAAAAGGACATTCATTCATAGATAAACAAAATAAGATTTCAAAATGTCATTCTTTGAACAATTCAAATACATTTTGAACATATCTTTATAAAGATATTACTCATAATGGGCTTGAACAAACATTACGCTTCGGATGACCAACCTACACGAAACACATACAAATACACAATAAAACACAATATTCAAACAAGCATTCTATCTTAATTCAATTCCTTAAATGGGTTTCTAGCTTATTTCTTTGTTACTCTCTCCAAACTCAAGTTGGTTAGTTCCTATCCCCCTTGAGTTTGCGGGGGGCTGTTAAAATCCACCTACTCTCCACCTATTTTACCCACTTAAACCTACTCCACTAAACCTAACCTACTACACCACTACCACCTCACCTACTCCACTAAACCTTCACCCACTTAAACATACTCCACTAAACCTAACCCACTACACCACTACCACCTCACCTACTCCACTAAACCTAACCCACTACACCACTACCACCTCCACTTCACCTACTCCTCACCTACTACACACTCACCCTCTCCTATATATAGGAATCATTGTAACCATAACTACATATCAATCAATATATCAATAACATTATATCAATCAATAATACAATTCTCTATTTCTCTTTATACATTAAATTTCTACAGTTTCTAGCTTATTTCTTCTTTAATGAAGCCTAAACAATGCCTAAAAGAACATGAAAGTGAAAATATGCACATGAAAGTGTATTTTAAAGTTGCTGAAAATAGGATGTTCGCTAGAGTAGTCCTTTGGTTGCTCGAGCAATCTGGTCAGTTTGCAAAAGTACTGGATACTCAAAATCTAGGCTCGACGGTCGCTCGAGCCAAGTGTAATGAAAATTGAGTTTGCTCGAGCAGTTTGGATAACTCTGCAAAACTACTGGATGATCACAAAGTGCACTCGAGCAGTAACTTCATCGCTCGCTCGAGTGATGAGGTCAAATTTTGGGTTTCCAAAACAGAATTTCGAGCTTTAAAACAAGAGTCTACAATTCAAAGGCTTGCATGGCTTGACCAAACACAAGAAAACACTTTGAAAAACATGAATATAGAGCCAGTTTGAAACTATAGACTCAAAACTCCATGAATTTAACAAAATTGAACTCAAATACTTTATGCATGTATGGAATTGTTTTCGAACTCTTTCCAAAACTTTCAAATCATGAAATTAAACCTTTAAAACTTGTAATTCTTTGATGCATGTAAATTTCAACTCCCAAATTCAACATAAAACTTGTAATTCTTTGATGCATGTAAATTTCAACTCCCAAATTCAACAAAAATACCAAAACTCATGCTCAAAATAGTAAAAACATGATGGAAATATGCATGCATGACCATTCTAAGCCAATTTTCATCATCTTCAAGTTAATTCTACAAATTTCCTTATTTAATCTTAATTCTCTTCATGAATACACTTCTTAGTTGGATTAAGTACAAGAATTAGAGGTTAAATACATACCTAAAGCTTGAATTTAGTGTTCTACTTCGCAAATTTCTTCAATTCCTCTTCTTCTCCTCACAATTCTTCTTCTCTTCCTCTCTAGAGTTGCTCTCTCTTTCTCTCTAAAGTTTCAGCTCAAAGATATAGAAATGAACTCAATTCTCCTCTCTTATATTATATATATAGCTAGGATTAGCTTAAGTTAATTAAGTAAGCTTAAGGCTAATTAATCCCACTTAATTCTAGTTGATTCCTTCTAATTAATTTTAATCTAAATCAAATTATAATTAAACTTCCCAAAAGGTTCTAAATATTCAAATTAGCCTATTAAACTTGACAATTTCGGTTTCTGAATTCATTTAGACCTTCAATTTCTGCGTTGAAATAGGTATTCTAACAGATATTCCATAATTCGGACAGATAGATACAAATTAAGCACATAACACACATATTCCTTCTAATGATATGCATGTTGGGGTCGTCACATGGTTGATCTTGTTACCATATCAAATTCATTTGTTTGCTTCAATTTGTGGTTACTTACCAAAATTCTAAATGTTTTTGTGACCTTTCATGTGTTGGCCAAGAATTGGCATTGGATTTTATTCCTTGCTTCTAATGAACTTCATTAATGTGTTTGCCGAGAATTGGCATCGGAGATTCTTTGCTTCTTATTTACTTTCCATCTGTGGCCCATGTTGTTAGTTATTGGAATGCTTTATTAGCTTTTATCAAAATGATGACTTCTTTTATTCTAGTTAGGGCTTTGCAAATATTGAAGAGCTCACTGGGGCTCCCCCCTCGTTTTGGGTGGAATGGTGATCCATGCGTACCGCAACAACATCCATGGAGTGGAGCAAATTGTCAATTTGACGTAACTAGCGGCAAATGGGTTATTGACGGACTGTTCGTTCTTAATCTTATGCTTCATATCACATTATTTTCATTCCTTTTGTGATCATTACTGCCATCTATATGTCATCTTGTTATGTGTTCATGCTGCTAGTTACTAAATTTTTCTCGAGGAAAAAAAAAAACCATGAACTTAGGACTAATCTTTTGCTTTTGCATTAGTTCTCTGCTGCAAACACTCTGATGCCACTGCATTCAAGTTTCTGAATGCTATCAGTGAATGGATATAGTAATCTATTTTTCTGTAATTGGCTTTCCTTTCTCAGTTGTATGATTTTATTATTGGTTGGCTTGATAATTATTCTGTATAAAACCAAAATTATAGTTTCATACGATTTAAAGACTCCTCTATGGATGGGTGGAAATTGTTTCATTTATTAAAACTATGATTAACTATACAATTAGACTTAACTTTGACAGAGCCTATATCCCCAATCATTTTAGGCTACTTGCTTTTCCACTTTACTCTATCCCATTGAGAAAAGTCTTATCCTTAGCACCTTGTATAGGCCATGTGGAAAGTCTTATCTATTTTACAAATAGTTTTTTTTTGTGCGTGCGTGACTTGTCTTGGGCTTTTCCCTTTCTGTTTTAGAATTTATTTAGCAATATCATTTTCAGTCCGCTCCCTTCATCATTAATATTGCCTGCTTCAAGCTAATAGAAACATTAGTAGGCCTCTTTTGGCTGTCAACTTTTGTTTTGTCATAGTAATTTGTAAGTTTGCATATATTATAATCATATATTCTATCATAGTTTAGCTAAGTGTAAAGGGATTTGTGGTATCTTGTTGTAATTTAAACTTACATCTATCCCCACTCCTAGGGGTGCAACATGGGTGGGCTCAACTCAAGTCCAGCTTGAAATTTTTGAGGGCTTGGGCAACATATTTTTGAATAAGGTGAGGGCTTGGGTAGAGATGAAACAAGCTGAGCTCAGAAGCCCAAATTAAATTTGGGTGGGCTTGGGCAAAGACGAAACATGCTGAGCAACCAGTAGCCCAAATTGTATATATAAATTTATAAAAATATTAAATATACATATAAATTATTAGCAATTAGATTACGTAAAAATAATTTAGATTGTCAAATCATATTCACTACATATATCAAAAAAGAAAAATATTCACTGCATATTATATATACACAAGTAAAACAACACAAAACTTACCTTTTTCTTTTTTCAGTTGGAAATTGAGGTTATGGGTTCAAGTCTCCGAGTAACTACTTTGTGCACTATGTCAAAAGTTAGGTGTGTACCCAATCTTTTCCCTCCCAAACACACATTGATGTGTATTATTTAGGCATTGTTTTTTAGTTAGAAATTGCAAGGACTACCACGTTGGCACATTAGTTCTTTAATTCTTATCTTTCTCTTCTCCATCTTTCTAACATCATATAAATGTTTTGTTTTGACGTTATTATTAATGATTTTACCCCAAAAATGTTAATAGAATCTAATTTTAAAAAATTAATCAACCTAAAAAAAAAAACCCTCAAATTTATGTGCAATTTGGGAGATTCGGGCATAGCTTGGGTCAGGCTAGGGTAGATAACCTCGAGTTGCAATTCAGGCTTAGACGGGCCTAAGCAACTCTTAGCAAAACATAGATTGGGCTTAGACAACCTCTCTGCCTGATTGAACCCACTCGAGTTGCACCCCTACCACTCCTATTTTGACTACCAAATAATGTACTGTTGAAAATTGATTCTCAGGACAAGACACAATGCTGAATATACCATGTTAGCTTAGAAGTAGTTGAAGGATCCAATGGCAACCATAGATGTCAGTCTAAATGGCAACCTAGTAGTGAATGAAAAAATATCACTGCCCTAATCACTGTTAGATCACCAGCTGTCCCCAAAACTAAAGTTGTTGGGATAGGGGTCCAACAATGCATATGGAAGTTCTGCAACACCCTCCCTCACATGCAACCTCGTTTTGCATGTGGAGATGCAAACTTCCAAACATGTAGACAAACAAAAAGCAAATGGGAAAACAAATGCAACTAGAAAGACTTGAACGCAAGACCTCTTCTAAGATGTTAGAAAAGGGGCACAACAATATGTATAGTGAGAATGTAAAATGGAGAAATTAGGGTTGAAAGTTAGGAGGAAGAAGAAGAAGAAGAGAGAACTTTGTATATATTAAAAACCAATTAATTCCCTCAACTGTACATCACTCAAATATATATAAAAAACCTAAAGTAGCAATATGACCATCATACCTTCAACTTAAGTAAATATTAACAAGAGAACAAAAATAACTAAAAGAACTATTCTAACACTCCCCCTCAAGCTGGAGCATAGAGATCGAACATGCCCAGCTTGGCAGACAAACGAAGAAATGAAGGCCGAGCCAAAGGTTTGGTGAGAATATCACCCAATTGATCCTCATAACGAACATAAGGAGTCACCAGTTGCTTGCGGAGTAAGAGATCACGAATAAAATGGCAATCAACTTCGATATGTTTGGTGCGTTCATGAAACACAGGGTTATTGGCAATGAAGATAGCAGCCTGATTGTCACAAAACATGCGCATAGGAGTGGAAACAGAAAAGCCAAAATCTTGGAGAAGAGACTGAACCCAGAGCATATCAGAAGCAGTATGAGCCATGGCGCGATATTCAGCCTCGGCACTAGAACGAGCAACGACGGTCTGTTTCTTGCTACGCCAAGTGACAAGATTACCACCAACAAAAGTACAATAGCCTGAGGTGGAACGGCGGTCAGTCGTATTACCAGCCCAATCAGCATCACTGAAGCCAGCGACAGACAAGGAGGAAGAGGGGCGATAGAGCAACCCCCTACCTGGAGCACGCTTATTGCAAGATACGACATACAGCCACAAAATGGGGTTGGCGGGGAGCATGCATAAACTGACTGACCACACCCACAGCATAGGTAATATCTGGACGAGTGACAGTGAGATATATTAACTTGCCAACCAACCGATGATAACGACCAATATCAGGAAAGAAGTCGCCAGTGTCGCCAGTGTCACCAGCAAGCTTGACACTAGAATCCATGGGAGTATCACTGGGGCGAGTGCCTAAGAGACCAGTCTCAGTAAGAAGATCAAGAACATACTTCCGTTGAGAAAGAAACAAGCTCTGAGAAGAACGGGCAACTTCAATCCCAAGAAAATACCGAAGATGGCCCAAGTCTTTGGTGTGAAATTGTTGTCCCAAATACTGCTTCAAAGCAGCAATACCATTGGAGTCACTCCCTGAAATGATGATGTCATCCACATAGACAATAAGAACAATACTCCCAGTAGACGAGTGGCGAACAAAAACAGAGTGATCAAAAGTGGAACGGTGAAAGCCATAGGCAATCACAACAGCACTGAAGCGATCAAACCAGGCACGAGGGGATTGCTTAAGACCATACAAGGCCTTCCTCAATCAACAAACAAGATGCTCTTGGCCGGGAACAACATAGCTAGGGGGCTGATCCATATAGACCTCCTCGTGGAGATCACCATGGAGAAAAGCATTCTTGATATCCAGTTGATATAAAGGCCAAGACTGATTAACTGCTGTAGAAATTTAATGTATAAAGAGAAAAAGAGAATTGTATTATTGATTGATGTTTGTAATTGTTGAATTATTGAATGCTACAATGATTCCTATATATAGAAGAGTAGGTGGTAGTAGGTGGTAGCAAATATCTGTATGGACAAGAGCAAAAGACTCAGACACACGACTAACACTACGACGAGGAAAAGAACTACGATGATGCTTCCCAAATTGACAGGCTTCACACTCAATCTGAGAAACATGACTCAAACCCGGAACAGCTAACTTGAGCTTGGCCAAGGAGGGATGACCCAAGCGAAAATGCCACTGAAGAGGAGATACACTAGCACTCAACACAGCAGATGGAGGAGGAGACGTCTCAGCGTCCAAAAAGTATAAGCCATCCTTCTCATGCCCCAAACCAATCATCCTCTTGGTCTGGAGGTCCTGCAAAACACATGAAGTAGGAGAAAAGGTTATCAAACAATGGAGAGCTTGAGTCAATTGGCTAACAGAAAGCAAATTAAATGGAAATTTAGGAACATAAAGACCAGAAGGTAAGGACATGGATGGAGTGGGATGAAGAGGACCTTGACCACAGACAGGCCGAGAAGATCCATCAGCAAGTATAATGGTATGATCAACAGGTCTAAGAGTATCAAAAAGAGAGGAATTACCAGAGACATGAGAACTAGCACCAGAGTCTAGGAGCCAAGGCTGAGAGGACTTAGCCACACATGCAATATTACCTGAACTAGCCATGGTAGTAGAGGAAGAAGGTAGACTAGGCCGGAGAGACTGGACAAGGGCAGTAAGCTCACTAATTTGAGTAGTGAGTGTCTCATGCGAAGTAACAGGAGAAGCATCCGAGCCAGTGGACAACAAGGAAGACTGTGAGGAGGGGACATCCATAACCTGATGGACATGATCAGGTCTGCCATGCTTTTGCCAACACCAAGGTTCAGTATGACCTTGGGAACCACAATGAGTACACTTGCGATCGGCACGTATACGAGAACTAGGTCCACTACTACTTCCACCACAGAAACCACCACGTGAGCCACCACTACGAGAACCACCTCCACGAGAGCCCCGTGAACCAGAAGAAGAGCTCCGAGAACCAGAAGAACTATGAAAACCCCCGTGAGGAGACCCATGATCACCACTACTAGAAACCAATGCAGAAGATGATAAAGAAGAGGACCCAGAAGTGGATTGTGCTTGTCCCAACGAAGAGCTTAACAGCCTAGAATAGGCATTGGCAGCTGAAGGTAGAGTGTCACTGGCAAGAATCTGATCTTTGAACCCTCGCAACTCAGGATCTAAGCCAGAAAGTAAAGAAGCCATCATAAACTCCTCCCAATGTTGTTTCTGGGTGGTCACATCAGTAGTGAAAGGTCGATGCTACAGTAACTGATCCCACAAAGTCTTGAGACTACTATAATAATCAGGGAGAGACCGGCTAGATTGACGCATAGCAAAAATCTATTCATATAACTCGTAAACCCGAGAGACATTACTTTGATTTGAAAAAGACTCAGCAAGGGAGTCCCAAATGGCCTTAGAGGTATCACAAAATTCCACGGTAGTAGCAACCTATGGTTCTAGACTATGCCAAATCCAACCCATCACACAAGAATCCTCACAACACCAATCATCATAATCCTTATCATCAGTAGGAGGAGGGAGTTCACTAATATAGCGGGACTTCTTCTTACCACGTAAGAAAATCTTGACAGCATGGGCCCAAGCCAAATAATTAGCACCATTCAATTTCTTTGTAGTGATAGATTTAGGCATGTCATCATCTTTACCCATAGTTATAGCCTTAGCCTCAATCTCAACCATAATGATCAACCAGACTTGCAAACAGCCAATACCCACACCCACAATCACCAATATAAACACAGAACTAGCTCAACAACCAAGTTTGGACCCAAATGAGACCAACACATCAACTTAACAGTAGCAATCAATAAAGAGAGGACAAATATCCCTTGCTAGAAGGGTTTTAGCCCTTATATAGGAGCCTTCAATAGGTAGAACCGAAGAACACAAGGTGACTGGACCAGAAACAGCCAAAAATCGAACAGAATATCAACCCAACAGGAGTAAAACGACAAATTAAGATCAAGGACCCTTAAAGGGGTGATTTTCGGCTCCTAGGGAAGTGAGCCCAGCAAGAAAAACCAAGAAAAAATAGTCCCAAAGGCAGATTAAAAAAAAACAGTCCCAAAACACGAAATAGTTTCAAAAATCGAAAACTCACATCAGGGATGATCAAAAAATTCCACAAAAATCACCATAAATCTCAGGAGGCAATTTCGAGTCTAGGGATGAAGGACCCGTCCGTACACTGCTTACGTCATGCTGATGTCATCGTACGGCTGATGACATCAGCACGTCTCGGTCACCTCAGATCGATCTTTAGAATCTGTAGAACCCTTTCTAATGAAGAAGAGATTGCTCTGATACCAAGTGAGAATGTAAAATGGAGAAATTAGGGTTGAAAGTTAGGAGGAAGAAGAAGAAGAGAGAACTTTTGTATATATTGAAAACTAATTAATTCCCTCAACTTTACATCACTCAAATATATATAAAAACCTAAAGTAGCAATATGACCATCGTACCCTCAACTTAAGTGAATATTAACAAGAGAACAAAAATAACTAAAAGAACTATTCTAACATTCTCAATCATTAAACCATCTAATAGTTTAAAAACAAAATTGCACCCATCACAAGTAAGTAGAACAAAAATAACTAAAAGAACTATTCTAACATGTATCAAGCTCTACACAAGGTTGTTAAAATTGGGATCCTAGGTAGGCTCGTTGGGAGAGACTTGTGGATTGGATCGTAGAATCAGATCAAATATCGTAAGATTCTACTTTTAATGTAAAATAAAATGATAAATTATCTTTAATGATAAAGTATGTTAAATAATTGTAAAATCATTAAAGAAAAATGATTAATTTGATATAATGCATCTTTTATGTTATCATAAATTAGAAGAAATGTTTGTAGAAAGAATTTATAGTCAAATTTCTTATATAGATATACACATATACATACATATGTAAGAAATAAATAATAAGAATTTTTTTTTGGTAGGATCGGGGTCGTAGAATCGGGATTCTACATGATTTTATGACTAGGATCATAGTCACCTTAAGATCCTACTAAATTTAAGATCCTAGTGTGATCCGGATTGTTTGGCCCAACTAGAGATCTGGATGGGGATTCTGATAACCATGGTTCTACAATAATCACCACTTGGGCTGTTGCATATGGTTTCTTGCAGCTTTGAACATGCACAAGGTTTATGGAGTAAATCCATTGAACTATTGTGTTTAGGACCTTAAACTATATATTTCATAAAATATCATGTCAATAGTATTACTAGTAATATATATAGTCAAACAAAAAGATGCAATTGTTGAAAACAAAGATTCTTGTAGATCAATGAGTGAAAAAAGAAAAAGAAAAAAAGAAGAGCACACTTTCATTGTATGGCATGTTGGTTTTATGCATAACAGGAGTGTAGCTTTAAATATCACCATAGCTTTTGAGTTGAATACTAGAGTACTGTGAACATTTTGGAGAATAGACTAGAACTTCTTTGCCATTGCAAATGCAAGACTTAATAAGAGTACAATCAGTTCCTAAAGACTTTCATAATATCATCATAATTGAGCTTGGGTACTTTGGATTCTCCAAATTTTGGAGATTTTTTAGGATCCTCTCCAATTTATACTTCCTTTACACATATAAAATTACATCTTCTCTTGCTAGTTCCAATCTCTACCAATGCCCTTTTCAACCTTGCTATTGTATGTGTGATTCCATTTCTTTCATTGGGTCTGCTTATCATTGAAGTCCTTGGTGTTTTTACATGTGAACACCATCTCAATTTGGTCACCTCTCATGTCTCCGATTGGGATGCCCTCTAACTTACCAATAGCCGTAAATGTCCTCAACAATCGGCAACCAAAACTAGGGAATGACATTTTTTTCCCCTTTTCTTAATTCATTTCTAATACACTTTCATGTGTCTACAGACTCTACACTAATTTGACTTAGCATCCTTGTCAGCATTTAGCAATAAAGGGGGTTTTTTCTTTTTCTTTCTTTATTATTAATTATTATTATTTTTTTTTTTTTGTGCTGAACTGTAACTAATGTACAAAAGAAACTTTCTCATTTTTGTTTTTCTTATTCAGTGTGCTTCTTTGACTCCTACATTATTTGCCTTTCGTTTTCTTGTAAGTTGTCTGTAACTGTCTTTATTGAATAGAAGTTTCTGAGAGGTGTGCCTTCTTGTCCTGATGAAACGAGCAACACATATTGAGTTGTCAACTCTTAAGAGGGCTCTTCTTGCTAGGGGTAAATCCTCCTTATAAGGATGAGGAAGGGATTTCCAAAGTTAGGCAAGGGGTGATTTGGGATAAAAGCTCTTAACCCCAGTTGGGTAGTGGATTGCATTGGGATATTGCCAGACCTTCCTTATCCAGCCCGCGAAGATGCTTACGTAGTATGCCACATGGACTCTTTTGTACATGTGAAGTACCCATGCCAGACATGACACTGTATAGTTGGGGTTTGGAACATCTGTGTGATGTCGAGTCATACATGCACCAAAAAAGTATGTGATCACTGTTCAAATTTTCATTGTAACTATACACAACTTTTGTAATATGTTCATTTATTACATGGTTGCTTATGTTGACTAAAGTTTCCATGCTGGAGTCTCTATATTTACATAAACACACATTTTTACCCTAAGAAATGAAAGAAAAATAATAAAAAATTTACATGTTTACTGATGTGCCTGTGTTCTTTGACTTGGGGAATATATATAACTCCAATGTCTATTGTGTCCATGTAAAATAGATCCTCTATTATAGTGCATGCAGCTTGCCACCCAAACCTGTGTTTGCTTGTTTTATCAAGGCAATATATTAGCAGTATAAGGTTCTGACAAAATTTTGATGTGGGACAGTGGATTTCAAAGTAAATGTGGTAAACAAACTTGTTCAATATGTTCCATTCGGGGTGCAGATATCAGAATTAATTAGTGTCATATGGACCTAAATAGGGGCAAGAAGACAGATTTTTAGTCCCACTTTAGTTGTAAGAAGAGACAAGAGGCCACCACTTCTCAACGAAATGTGAACCCTATTACTCCTCTCCTTGTCAAGATTTAAGACAATTTCTGATCATGTGGGTGTCAGTTTTGCTGCCAGGCCACTTGGTGTCTGAGTTGAATTTTAAAATTGTGCTCCCATGATTGTCTGTCAGATTTGCATACACTCTTATGAATGGTTCATTCTTAGATTTTCCTGTAGGGCGCTATCGTGGGAGTTCTTCTCTTCTAAATGTAGCGGCTGGTAGAATTTGGCATAGATCTTGTTTTGTGAGTCTGCTCAATGCCTCTTATAAAAGAATGTCGCAGAACATTTGGAGATTCCATTTAAAGTTTTGGTGCATTGTTTTTGGTCCTGCTTTGGTTTTTTGAGTTTATCCTTTTGTGAGTAAATATGTCCTACCCTGGTAATGACTGTTTGCAACTTTGGTTGTCTTTTCTCATGGCATGAAAATCCAATATTTATGAGCCATGCAATTGCTTTTACTATGTTCTGTAATCATTATTATTATTTTTTTTTCTAGTTTTTGTTTGCCCATTTTTTGTTGTTCGTGCTGCTCAACCCAAATTCTAGCACGTTTTGCAGACCAACTTTGTTTTTATTAAAAGTACTTTATTGTATGCTTGAATGGAAAACTTCCTACAATACTTGTTGACAAATTAAAGTCATTTTAATTTGCTAGTAATTAAACTGTTCTCTATTGATAAATATATATATTGTTGTCTTGTCAAATATCATTTTCTGAGATGTATGTATCTCCTGGTAGGTTGATGACTGTATAATGGTTCATCTGAGGCTTGATATATTAAAATATTAGTGCATTTTCCATTCCTTTGTTTGCATGGTTTTGACTAACTACTTATGCTCTGCATGTCCAGGGGTCTCGACAACCAAGGTTTGAGTGGGTTCTTGCCAAATGAAACATCACTACTGCATCATCTGCAGAGCATGTAAGTATTTACTAGAATTCATTCTCAACTTTATTCGTAGGTTGATGGTGAATGTGTGCTCTAGGAACCTTATTCAATTTGCAACTAAAAGACTTAATGTGACCAAAAGCACCACAATGATGACAAACATGATTAAACTTGGATGATTTTACGTAGCATCTGTGGTGTTGGTTTTCTTGAGAGATGTCTTTGCTTGGCCCATGATGCTTGCTAGCCTTGTTGATGTAGAGCACTCAAGTTAAAAACTAACACAACATATACAATGCCTTGAACATCAACTCAAACAAAAATTACTACTACATTAGGATTCATTTGGTCAATGGGATTGCCAACAATATAATGACTAACAGGAAAATTTTGAAATTCCTTTTTTCTGTAATAAGGATAATGACAATGATATGCTATATTAGTAGCTTTTGTTTGTCATACTAAAATTTAAAAAATGTACTTGCACTATGTCACCCCAATACTACATCAACTGCTGTTGACCTTGATGAAGTGATATAGATACTACTGACTGAACATAACTTCATAGCTTGTTCTCATTATCTCTCATCTTAACTTGTACATTTTCAGAAACTTGAGTGGAAACGGCATTCATGGGTCCATTCCATCTTCACTTGGAACAATAACAAGTTTAGTGATATTGTAAGTATGATTAAAATTATTGGTATCTACTTAAACGCTATTGACTCCTTTCCTTTGGTATCTGCTCTGTTATTATTAAATGATATAAGACATGGAAAAAGCCTATCAACATGCCACTGACATTAATCAAAGTGTGATAATGTAGTATTTCAGATTGAGTGATAATTGAAATTTTATTCTTCTGTTTCAAAACAACTAGGGGGTGGGTTGTTTGTTTTATTTAATAATACCTTGGTTTAACCAAACCAAACCAATCAAGTGAATATGAATATATTTTTTTTTTTGGCCATTCTACTCTCATCAAAATACATGTTCAGCCGAACTTTTTCCCCAAACTTTCCTATTTCACTAAAATGACTCTTAAAATTTTGTAGTACCCATGTTCAATCAGCTACAATTTCTCTTAGAGCATCTCCAATGGTTTATCAGATTTTTCATCCAATCTGAGTAAAAAAAAATGATTTCCTCTATTTGATATCACCTGTTCCAACGGAGAAATTTAGCTTTTCATTAAACTACCGGTCGACCGAGCGGATGACCGGCCAATGCAAAAAATGAAAAACTGAGAAAACAAAGAGGTGGTCGACCGGGTGGTCGATCGGGTGGTCAGCCTCCTAGTGTAAAATTTTCACAAAATTTTGCTTAAGGTGGTCATCCGGGAGGACGTCCGGCTAGTCGTCCGGTGGGACCCACCTCCAACGTAAACGCACAGTGTTTTAGTGAAATCTGCCTAGCTCCTCAATTTGGTGAAATTTTTGGGCGATTCTCATTTTGATATCAGTTTGGTGAAACTGTTGGAGCCAAAAAAGTTGCTTTTTTCCACCAAATTCAAATTTGGTGATGGTTTTGCTTAACCGTTGGAGATGGTCTTATTCCATTGCCAATATCTCAAGTGTAATTGTTTTTTTACCATAAAGTGTAATTGTTAGACTCTCCTATATTTCGTTGGATCTAAAATGTAACCAGTTCAGCTGCAAAATCTTCAGAATCGCTTGAAACCAAAAAAAACGATTTCCTCTATTTGATATCACCCGTTCCAACGGAGAAATTTAGCTTTTCATTAAACTACTGGTCGACCGAGCGGATGACCGGCCAATGCAAAAAAAGAAAAACTGAGAAAACAAAGAGGTGGTCGACCGGGGGGTCGATCGGGTGGTCAACCTCCTAGTGTAAAATTTTCACAAAATTTTGCTTAAGGTGGTCATCCGGGAGGACGTCCGGCCAGTCGTCTGGTGGGACCCACCTCCAACGTAAATGCACAGTGTTTTAGTGAAATCTGCCCAGCTCCTCAATTTGGTGAAATTTTTGGGCGATTCTCATTTTGATATCAGTTTGGTGAAACTGTTGGAGCCAAAAAAGTTGCTTTTTTCCACCAAATTCAAATTTGGTAATGGTTTTGCTTAACCGTTGGAGATGGTCTTATTCCATTGCCAATATCTCAAGTGTAATTGTTTTTTTACCATAAAGTGTAATTGTTAGACTCTCCTATATTTCGTTGGATCTAAAATGTAACCAGTTCAGCTGCAAAATCTTCAGAATCGCTTGAAACTAGATGTTATAAACTCGTTACATGTCTTGGCTTGAATTTCTGTTGCAATTGTTCTTGTGGATGGGATGGGACTGATAAGTTGGTCCCCCTCTTGTTTCTTTTTCGCTCATTGTGTTTATTGATGCAATTCATACAGCATCATCTTTCTTTCTTTCTTTTTTTCTTGAATTACTTTTCTAATAAAGAAAGAACACTTGTTCAGTTCAAGAAGAGTGCAAAAGTTGCCAAAAATGTTTAAAAATTTATGTCCAAAAGATAAGTTCCCCAGGTGAATATTAATTAAAATTTATATATTAATTAGTTCTCTTTCCACATAGCTTGGTATACCTCAGCTTGTATGCATTTCCAAGATATCCAGAATTAAGACTGGCAAGGATATGGATGTTCTGTTGTTTGTAGGGTCAATTAGAGTGATGCTTATGTTACAATTAGTTCATAAAGTAAAAAGGGGAGCCCCAATGCATGAGGTTCCCACCACTATGGGGTCTAGGAAAGGTAAGATGTAAGCAGTCTTACCCTCGCATGCGAAGATACTACTCCCATGCCTGAACCCATGATGCCCAAGTCACAATGGAGAAGCCTTACCATTGCACCCAAGATTAGTTTATAAACTATGTGTTAGAATTTACCATCACCTACCACCACTACCACCTCACCTACTCCACTAAACCTAACCCACTACACCACTACCACCTCACCTACTCCACTAAACCTAACCCACTACACCACTATCACCATCCACTACACACCATCCACTACACCTACATCTATATAAGGAACCATTTGTAATAGACAGAAAATCAACAATATATATCAATCAATCTTCGTTCTCTCTATTTCTCTATACATAAAATTTAACACTATGTGGCTGGATTAGGCTTGGAAACAACAGTGTGAATCATTTTCAAGTTCCTACTTTATTGCTCTTAGAAAGTGCAATGTGAAGCATTGCAGAATAGTGGAATCATAAATTGATTCTGAAGTCAGATATGGTAGATTGTAATGGAACAAATAATGATATTGAAGAAAATAAATTGGTTTGTTGAGAAGCGTATGACTCAAGCCGTATGGATTTTCATTCCACAGACAGTTGGTGGTTCTTTTTTCTTTCAGTTATTCTGTTAATATAATTTCTGAAGACATGTCTGTATGACAGGGACCTCTCCTATAATTCTTTCAATGGATCAATTCCTGAAAGCCTTGGACAGTTGACTTCATTACGAACACTGTAAGATCTTACTCGTGTCTGATTACGATGAAATGAGAATACACAAAATGGCTTTCTAATCTATGTAATCTCGGTGCAGGAATCTCAATAGCAACTCCCTCTCTGGAAGAGTGCCAGCAGCACTTGGAGGAAGGCTTTTACATGGGGCGAGCTTCAAGTATGTTCATGCCTTGATACAAAACTTGACACATAAATATATACATTAGGGAAATAGGATATTTATCAGATGTGTTCTGCATCGGATACTTACTGTGGATGCATGCAGCTTTACCGATAATGCAGGCCTTTGTGGTATTCCTGGACTACCAACATGTGGGCCCCACCTCTCCACTGGTGCAAAAGTTGGCATTGTATTAGGTTCATGTGTCTCACTCTTACTTATTTTGACCTTCTTAATGTGTTGGTGGAAAAGGCGGCAGAATATTATCCGAGCTCAGAGAATTGCAGGTAAAGATATCCAGGCTAAGATCAAAGAGATATGAAACAACATGGTATACTGTTAAAAATGTTTTTGGCAGTGAACCCCTTGGGAATTTGTTATGGAAATGTAAATAGCAGAGAACGTGATGGTGGTTATATAAGAAAATCACCAGTACATCATATTTTCACCATTAGGGCTGCAAATGAATTGAGTTGTTTGTGAGCTTTGCTCGGCTTATTAAGTACATAAATGAGCTTGAATCAGATTTCTTCGCTCATTTATATTTTTATTTAAATAATAGAATAAATATATTATTTATATATAAAACAATGTAAAAATGTGTTATAGATGCATATTTAATATATAATGATATTTAACGAGTTGACCGAGCTTGATTATCGAGCTCGATAAAACAAACGAGCTGAGCTCGAGCCCTGCAAAAGCTCGATTCGGCTCGTTTGTAGCCCTAATCACCATTGTCACCACCAACACCCCCCGCACAAACATTCATGATTCGGGCGTACAAGTTGCTCTTCCATAACTTATTGGTTAATTTTTTCTGTCGTCTGTTTTGTGCAGCAAGAGATGCCCCGTATGCAAAAGCAAGGACCCATTTCTCTCGCGATGTGCAAATGACCAGGCATCACGGGCATGAACATACACGGACAGCTGTTGAGAATGGTCCAAGCTTACTTTCGTAATCAGTGAACCATTTCTCTGAGATCCTATGCATTTGAAGTTTGCTCCTGTTTTTGTTGCTGGATGCTGAAGAAGCCTCCTACAGGTCTTTTTGATCTTGTTTTCTTTTTTTGATCTTGTTTTCTTGCATTTGAGGATGTGATTGGATTTCTGTTCCATTTTTTTCCTCCCTCAAAAATCTTCTTTCAGGTATCCTGGAAAAGTCACATAATCACACTCTAGAAGATTAATTTTCTACTTGTATATAGCAGATTGGCATATATTGTACATTGTTTCCAATCTTGATTCAGTTTTGGCCAAATATGCTATAAAAAAAAATATAATTTTCAGTAAATAGGTACAATGAAGATGTCTCTATGTTGCTCCATAAAGTCATATGACATCACTGTTGCGAATGACGTTAGGGCGTTGAGGGTAAGGCATTTTAAATTTTAAATTTTAATATTTAGTGAATAAATTAAATATTTTAAAAAAATAAAAAAAATAAAAATTAAATTAAATATGAAGATATAAATATTTTTTGTCTTAAGGCCTTGATCATTTTACTGCATAGAAGGAAATTTTCTTTCACTGAAAGTGAATAATATTCTTAATTTCAGTGATTGAGCTTCTCATTTGACAATTAATTGTGTTTTTACGTGTAAACAATCTAATAGACTAAGTTTAACAAAAGTCCGACGTAACATTTATATGTGCGTACTCCTCACATGTTTATGCGTAAAGAGTAATGTTAGGTATTATGAAAAAAATATCATGAAAATGATCATGAAAGATTCACCACCGTTAGATTACACATAAAAGAAAACACTAAACACTAATTAAAGGAGGAGAAATCTTTATGAAGGATTTCATGATATTTTTTTTTTATGATTCTTAGTATTATTCATGCGAAAAAAGTGTACAAAGTGCACTTAAGGTGCATGTCTCGAATTGTGATGCACAAGCCTTTAGGGAGTAATTTTCAAATATTAAAGTCTTAATGCGTTTTACCTAATTGCAAGGCAAGGCGAGCATTGAGGCAAGTCTCAGGAAAGTTTTTAAAACTCTGGTTGTAATCTTTTTTTTTGGCTTTTAGGTAAGATTTGGTCCACGTGAATACAAGTTAGATCAAAATGATTATTTAATTAAAAATGTTCATTTTTTATTCATTTTTGACTGCATTCGTTTTATCGACTCGAATCTTAAACTTACGACTTTCTTATTAAGTGAATGGTGGTTATTCCATAGGGGCATTTATGCAATGATTTTTTCATTCTATTTAACTGTTACAGAAAGTGGATCGATAAGTGATAGAAACGGAGGAAAAGTAGGTTTGTTTTTTAAGTATGTATTTGGTTAGTAGAAACTTATCTCAAGATTTAAAAAATAAATATTCCCGAATATATAAGATTATATTGTTTTGGGGTACGATAACTTAGCCGAAAATAAGAATATGTCTGAAAATAATTAAAATATCCTCCACAAAATTAAGTTTTCAATCAAAGATACCCTTCATGTGCCAATGACTTTATATTTTAAATCTTCGGTGTTTGGTTGGAGAAATTGATGAGAGAAATGAAAAAAAAAAATATATAATTTTACTTTTTGTTTGATTATAATGAAAAACTCAAGAGAAAAGAGAAAAGAAAGTGAGGGAAAAATGCAATTCTACCTTTTGCCTTTTGGATTTAGGTTTTTTTTTGTTTTTTTTTTTTCAACTCAACCAAATATAGTTTGGAATTTGAATTCTATCAATTCTTTGTCTTTTTTTTTTCTTTTTTCTTTTCATTTCTCTCGTCAAATACTCCAACCAAACACAACCTAAAAGAAAATAAAGGATATTAATATCTCTGAAGTAGAAGTTGATCGGATATAAATAACAATATGTTAATTATATTTGTTTTTAACAAAATAGAGGATAAGCATAATATCAAAAATATGCTTTTTTTTTTTCTTTCTTTCAAACAAATATGATCTAATATGCGACTGCTAATTTTCAATCAATATAATTTTTTTATATAGATAATTTATTTGAGAGATTAAAATTTAAATATTTTGAATGATTGAGGTAAACCTAAAATAAACTAGTAAAACACTAAAGCTGAATCCTCTAGTCCAGATAGTAAATCAGAGGAATGCCTCTCTAAAATAGCCATTAATGTATATACGTACTTTTTATTTTTTTGAGAAATTATAAAAAAGCAATCCAAGGTTTGACTCCAATAATAAATCAAATATTAACTTTTTAATTATTTCAATTTAAGTTTAGAACTTTTAAATGATTTTAACTCTAATCATCGGTTTGTATTGGTAAAGAAGGATAATTTAGATAATATTTTTATTTTATTTTATTTTTTATTTTTTTTTTATCCTGTCTTCCTAATCTATAGCCACTATTGTCGTCCAACATCACCAACGAAAAGTCATTAAATTATTTAAATTCTTCATGTTTTGTTAGTTAACATACAGTTAAATATGATATCATTTTAAAAATTAAAATTTAAATTAAAATAATTTCAAGAAATTAAAATCTAATTAGTTACCGAATCAAAGCCTCCTAATTGCTTTTGGGCGGGTCATATAAGTAGGGCATGTAGGGTTGAGCTGGTCTCAAATTTGTAGGGCTATGTATCTCTAGTTTTCATTTCTGTAATTATTTTTCGAATGAGGGATTATTTAGTGGTATTGAAGTATTAATCCATACTATTTATCACCTGATATTTGTCAAATTATTCTCTAAAAATTTAACAAAAAGTATTAAGCCACACTGCTTTAATTAATAAATATCAAGTTAGAGAATTATATGGTATTAGTCTAAAACCAAAGTTAATTTCTCAACTTGATTACATTATAGGGATGACGTTTGCGTCAAAAAAAATCTTTCTTCAAAATTAAAGAGTTGATTAAATATTTTAACGATTTTAAATTAGGGTGCAACTTGCCTTCGGTCCTTAATCAAATTGGACGATATTATTCGCCTCGTAAGAGTTCACCACGGGTTTTGTTTTGATAATCTGAACCGTCAATGTATAGAACTCGTCGAGTACTATATGCCTGTAGAAAATCACGTTGATCGGATATCGATAGCTATGTGATCAAATCAGTTTTGTATAAAAAAAAATAGACGGTGAACAAATTACCGATTGACAAAAAACTGATTTTTTACAAACATATAATACTCGGCGAGTTCTACATAATGAATGGCTCGGATTATCAAAACGGAACCCGTGGTGGGCTCTCACAGGCCGAACAGTACCGTTCAGTCCGATTAACCTCTTTAAGGGAACAGCTTGCCTTTAGTCCTTAATCGGACTGGATGGTGTTGTTGGCCCATGAGAGCCCACCACGGATTCAATTTTGATAATCCAAATAGTTCAATGTGTAGAACTCATCGAGTAATATATGCCTATAAAAAATCATGTTGATCAGATATCGATAGTTATGTGATCAAATCAGTTTTGTATATAAAAAAAAAATGAACTGTTAATAAATTAACAGTTGACAAAAAACTGATAAGATGAGATAGCTATTGATATCCGATTAACGTGATTTTTTTATAGACATATAGTACTTGACGAGTTCTACATATTGAACGGTTCAGATTATTAAAACGAGACTCGTGGTACCGAACAATACCGGCCAATCCGATTAAAGATTGGAGGCAAGCTGCACCCTTTAACTATTTGAACTGGTAAACTGATTAGAAACAACCACCCCCCCCAAACAGTAAAGATATAATGTAATCTTATGTTTTATAGTGTTGAATAAAAAATAATTTATTTTAAATCTTGATACAAAATTCATAAATTAATTGAATGTATATTATTCAAAATAACATTTCACAAATTAATATACAAAATAATTAAATTTTAAAAAATGCCATGAAAATGAGGGGATGGTTGTCATTTGATTAATGATATTAGGATTAGGAAGATATTACGTGCACATAAATGTAAGATGATTTTTTATATATACGAGTGATGTTACGTTTCAGTAAAGAAATAAAGAAAATTTTTAGGAAGATTTCCACTATTAAATTAGTTTGTGGTTTTTATTGTATGTTATGCAATCATATACATTTAGGTTTCATTTGGAAAGTAAAAGTTAGAATTTTTTTGGTTTTTTTGGTCACAAAAATAAAATAAAGGGGAAATTACCCACAGGTCCCATGTGGAACATGTGGATACCATTTAATCCCATAACTTTTTGGGTACACCCAAAAGTCCTTTCCTTCATCTCTCTGGTTTTTTCCTCCATTTTTACGTTTTCTTCTTTCTCTTAACTTAGTACATGGGACTTATCAGTAAGTTCCCCTAAAATAAATTTTTTAACCCAACAAGACAAAATATCACATCTAACTCATAATAAATATATTTTTTTCTGAAAAAAAAATTAAAAAAGTCAAAAAACCTAAAGTCCTTTTCAAATCAGACTTTTTAGCCACAGGCTAAAATAGTTCAAAAAGTCAAAAAATTAAAAAATCAACCCATTTCCCAAATGAACCTTTAATCTATCAATCATAGAACATTATAAGACAAAATTAAGCTTATACTGTTTGTAAATTAAGATTTCAAAATTAAAACATACTTACATTAAGATAATCGCTTTTCTTGTTTTGTTATCACACCACACTAGATTATTTTTAAAAGTTTGATGAAATTTTTCTTCATATTTTTTTTATGTGATCTAACATACTCTATACATACATACACTTATTGGATCGATTTGTAGATGTGTTGACAAATTCTAACCCACAACCAGCCCAACATAATTGTGGAGTTGTTTGGCAAGTTGTTTTTTTTTTACTTTTTTTTGTTTTTTTTAATATTAAAATAATTAATAAATATAAAATAAGTTAAAATAATTAAAAAGATAAAATGTCATATTTAAATTATATCATTTCATTTTTAACTATAAAAAAAAGAAAACCAACTTTTCAAATACAATTTTTTAAAGTCAAACTAAAATAGTTAAAAATCAAAAAATCAATTAAAATAGTTAACTTTTCAAACCAGCTCTCTATGGCCTACATAACTTAAGATTGTTTTGAGAAGTTAGTTAAAAATTAATTTTTTAATTTTCTTTAAAAAAAAATGTAAAAAGATAATATCACCCAAAATAGATTGAAAAGTTAAAGAGTAACTTTTTACTTTGTCCCCAGAAGAGGCCTTAATTCGCAGAATTTGGTTTGAATCAATTTGATTGATGCCGTTTAATAGTTTGACAATGTTTTAGAACACAACCCAAAATAAAATTAATATTAATATTATGATAATACATATACATATATATTTGTATTTTATTTAGGATTTATTAATAGTTTAATAAATACCACTATTCATGTTTATTATTAAC